TGGGATTTGGGGGGGGGGGTTCCCTGATTCCTCCCGGGCTGATCTCCCCCTCCTCGCACCCAGGACCTGCCCCTGGGGCTGATGGACGACATCTACGAGTTCGTGAAGAATTTCTCCATGCGGGTGGATGAGGTGGAGGAGGTGAGCGACGTGGGGACACCGGGGAGGGAGGGAGGGAGCGGCCCCATTTCCCCCCTCTCCCCCCAGGGTCTGGGGTCTCCCTGCTGTCCCCTGGGCATGGCCAGCGTGGGGTTGTCCCCCGGGTGGTGGCAGCAGGGGGGGGACACGTGGCTGAGGCCCCGCTGCCCGCAGATGCTGACCAACAACCGCATCTGGAAGAACCGCACGGTCGATATCGGGGTGATAACGGCCGAGGAGGCGCTCAACTACGGCTTCAGGTGGGTCCCGGGGGGCTCCTCGGGGTCGGGGGGGCTGCTTGTTGGGGTTGGGGGGCTGCTTGGGGTCGGTGCTGGACACTACCTGGCTCCAGGCCCCGCTGCTTGGTGTCAGAGCAGTGCCACCGTGTCCTGCGTGGCTTTGCCCCCCCCCTGCTGTCCCCAAACCCTTCTGGGACGCCATGGTGTGTAGGGCAAGGAACTCCTGGCCCCTTTTCCATGTCCCCTCGGTGCGCAGCCCGTCCTCCTGCTGCTGTGGGACGTTGGGCTGGGGTTTTTGGTGTCCCCCCCCGGCTCAGCCGCCTCTCTCCACGCAGTGGGGTGATGCTGCGGGGCTCGGGGATCCACTGGGATCTGCGCAAGACCCAGCCCTACGACGTCTACGACCAGGTGGAGTTCGACGTCCCCATCGGCTCCCGAGGGGACTGCTACGACCGGTACGTCCCCGCGCTGCGGCCGCCCGCCCCCTTCCCGGCACAGCACCCGCGCTGAGCCCCCCCCTGTCCCCCCAAACCCCCCCAGGTACCTGTGCCGCGTGGAGGAGATGCGCCAGTCGCTGCGCATCATCCTGCAGTGCCTCAACAAGATGCCCGAGGGGGAGATCAAGGTGGACGACGCCAAAATCTCCCCTCCCAAGCGGGCGGAGATGAAGGTAAAAGCCTGGCCTGCTGCCGGCCCCCCCCAATTTGCACCGGGGACCCCTCCCGAGCCCGAAAAAACGCTCCTGGGGGAGGAGGAGACCCAGCACTGCCCGGCCGTGGCCTCTCTCCGCAGACCTCCATGGAGTCCCTGATCCACCACTTCAAGCTCTACACCGAGGGCTACCAGGTGCCCCCCGGAGCCACCTACACGGCCGTCGAGGCCCCCAAGGTGCCCTTCTTGTGCTTTTTTGGGGGGGGCTGAGCCCACCCTGGGCTGGCACCCGGCTCGGTTTTGGGGTGGGAGGAGGGTGGTGGGCGCCAGCCTGCGCCGCGGTGCCTCTGGGGACGGCGCTCACCGGGTGTGGGACCGGCACAGCCCTCGGGACACCACCCACGTCCCGTCCTGTCCCGGGGCCTCTCGGGGTTTTTTGGGGCTGGACGCAGCCACCGCAGCCCCCCCGGGTGTCACCAGCCCTGTCCCCGTGTCCCCGCAGGGTGAATTTGGCGTTTACCTCGTCTCGGATGGCAGCAGCCGCCCCTACCGCTGCAAGATCAAGGCGCCCGGCTTCGCCCACCTGGTAGGGCACTGGGGGGGGACTGGGGGGGAACTGGGAGGACTGGGGGGGCAGCCTGGGGTGGCCGAATCTGCCCTCCAAGCAGCGCCAGCTCCTCGTGGGCCCGCTGCGAGGTTCTTTAGGGGCCAAGTGACACCTGTGGGGACGTGGCTGTCACCCGCACGTCCCCATCCCCGCCGGGTGGCTCGGTGCGAGCCGCAGCTTCTCCTGCTGGAGCCTCGGAACCGGAGGCCGCTTCCTGTCCCCGCCGATAGCTGACCACTTCCTGCAGCTGCCGTGCCGCTGGGGGCCTGGCCCGAGCCGTGGGGGGGCTGCCAGAGGGGCCCCCCCCTCTCCGGAAGCCGCGGCCCCGGCACCATCGGCAGCTGTTGGACGCAGGCGGCCGCGCCTCCAGCCTCGTGCCTCCGGCTGCTGACCGCAGCGGCCGCCTTCCTGCCAGCTCCAGCTCCGCGGGATCGGCCGAATTTGGGGTTGGGGGGGGGCACGGGGGCGGTTTGGGGCTGGGGGGGCAGCCCATGAGATAAAGCAGCCCCGTGGCACCGCGCTCGGGGCTGATTTTGTGTCTCTCCTCCTCTTTCAGGCCGGCCTGGACAGGATGTCACAGGGCCACATGCTGGCAGACGTGGTGGCCATCATCGGTACATGTCCCCCGGGGGGGTCCCGCGCCCCCCATGGACCCCCTGTGGGTTCCAGGGGGGGGGTCGGGGAGCCGGGCTCGGCCCTGCCCTCACCTCCCTTCTCCTCTCTCCAGGCACGCAGGACATCGTGTTCGGGGAGGTGGATCGGTGAGGGGCTCAGCGCCGTGCCCCCGCTGCGTGTGCTGCTCCCTGCGCTCCCCCCTGCGCCCCCCCCGTGCTGTCCCTTCACCGATTTGAGTCGAATAAAGGCTAAAACGGGTCCCGGCTCCGCGCTTCTGTCCCTGCGTCAGCCCTCGGCTGCCGGAACCGGGTGAAACCCCGCTCCTCTGCCCTTTCCCACACAAGGCTCGCGGTCGAGAGCTTCCCCTTCCCTCGATGTGGGGCTCGCGGGCGCATCACCCTCTCCGGGAGGATCCTCCCCGCTTCCCCAGCCCCGGGGGGGGCACTTCCCGGGGGTATTTTTACCTTTCTGCCCCCACCGCCTGCGATTTTGCACCCGGCCGGGGCTGGCGACGCCACCGGGAGCTCCCCTGTGCCAGGGTGGCACTTGGGCACGGGGAGGGTGGTGACACGGGGACAGCTCGGTGGCAAACCGGGGGGGGGGCCGCGTGGCCAGACGGGGGCTGGAGGAGGGGAAGCGGTGGCGGGGGGGGGACGTGAGGGCGGCGCGAGCCGCTGGGGAGGAAAGCGTTCGCCCTGCGGTCGCTGCCTCCAGCGCAACGCCCAGCGCCACCGACCCCGCCGGCCACAGCCCTGCACCTCCGGGTGCCGGCAGCGGGTAGGGACCGGGGACCGGGGACAGGGCTGGGGGACAGGGACAGGGCTGGGGGGGGGACAGGGGACAAGTTGGGGGGGGTTGGGGACAAGTTTGGGGGGGGACAGGGGAGCAGCTGGGTGGGTGCGTGGGTGATGGCCCGGCCTGGCCACCGCTGCGCTCGCCCTTTGGGGTGAGGCAGGACCCATCGAAGGCACCCCCGGCGGCTCTGCTGGCACCCCTGGGGGCAGCGGGGTGTGAAATGGGGGGGGGGGGGGCTGTGCCCTGTCCCCCACCCGGGGGGGGCACCTGGGGGCTCACCAAAACCATCGGAGACACGGCGGTGGCACCGCTGCGCTCCCCGGGCACGCAGAGAAAGCTCAGAGGTGCTGGCTCCAAGCTCGGGGTGCCCGGGGCAGGATTTGTCCTGGGGTGTCACGGCCCCGTTGTGCCCCCCCCCTGGACCCCTGTCCCCCTGTCCCCCCCCCCCGCAGAGGCGCCGATGGAGCCGGAGCTGTGCTACGTGCTGGACGCCGTCCTCTTCCTCTACGGCATCGTCCTCACCGTGCTGTACTGCCGCCTCAAGGTGGGCACCACGGCCACGGCCCCCCCCCTTTTTTGGGGCTGGACCCATCCCCAGAGGGATCCCCAAACCTCTGTGGGGTTTTTTTCCCCCCCCCCCATCCCCGGGGTTTGTTTTTTTGGGGGGGTCTCGGGCTGACCCCTTTGCGTCCCCGCAGTTCCTGGCTCGCCGAGCATCGCAGGGTGCCTCCAAAGGGGCCAAGGAGGTAAAGTCCCTTTGTCACCCCCCCCAAAAAGGGGGGACACCCTGGCTGGGGGGGGCGCTGGGGGGGCTCTGGGGGAGTGGGGACCAGCGGTGACCGCCCCCGTCCTGCGCAATGCTGGGGAGGGAAACGGGGGGGGTGAAACCAGCGGGGGGCACCCAGAGGTGGCAGGTGGTGGAGGGGGGGGGGAAGTGAAAAATCGTGGAAAATTCACAATTTGTAGGGCCGCTGGCAAATGGGGGGGGTGTGGGGGCGGGGAGCAGGGTGTCCGCCCCCCCCACCCCCCCCCTCCAGGGCAGCTCTTTCTCTTTCTCTTTCTTTTTTTTTGCAGCAGAAAGAAGAAGCCATCTACACGGTAAGGCAGCTGCGGGGGGGGGGCAGGAGATCCCTGGGGGGGGGATAAATCCCATGGGGTGCCCCCATCCCCTGGGTGCTGGGTGTTTGGGGGGGCGTTAATCCCGTGGGGTGCCCCCGTCCTGTGGGTGCTGGGTGTTTTTGGGGTGCCCCCATCCGTGGGGTGCCCCCATCCCCTGGGTGTTGTTTTGTTTTTTTTTTGGGGGGGGGGGGGGTAAATCCTGTGGGGTGCCCCCCTCCCATGGGTGCTGTGGTTTATGGGGTGCCTCACGTCCCCGGGGTCCCCGCAGCTACCCAGGGCCCCACCCCATTTTGGGGTGGAAAAATCACCAATCTGGGGCTGCGGGTTTGCATGGTGGGGGGGCTGCGGGGGGGGGGGCAGGCAGGGCTGTAACCCCCCCCCCCCCTCTCCTACACCAGGGGCTCAGCACCGAGCAGCAGGACACGTACGAGATGCTGGAGCCCAAATCCTGACCTCGTCCTCGCGCCGCCCCCCCCTCGCCCCCATCCCCAGGACCCCCCCTCGCCCCCCCCCCCCCAGCCACCGCTGGATGCAGAATTGGAGGTTTTTCTGCGCAGGAAATGGCCGTTTTCAGCCCCAAATCGCCTCCAGCTGGACACGGACCCCGCCGTGGTCCTGGGGGCGTGATGGGGGCCTGGGGGGGGGGGGTGAAGCCAGCCCGGGCCCCCCCCCCAGCTCCTGCCCCACTCCTCCCAGTAAAGCAGCTCCCAGTGCAAACTGGGCACGGCGCTCGCCTTAATCCGGGGCAGCGGGTGGGTGGCACCGGGGGGGGGTAGGATAAAAAAAAACAGGCATTTTGGGGAGAGAAACGGCTATTTGTGTATTTGGGGGGTATCGTACGGGGGGGGGGTTGTTTTGGGGGTGTCAGGCGCAGGCGACGTTCTCGTAGCTGTCGCTGGGGACCCGGCACAGCCCCCGGGGGGTGCCGGCACCGCGGGGTCCCGGCAGCACCGCGTAGGTGACGGAGGGCTCCTGGGGGGCACCGGGGGGCGCGGGGCCACCTGCGGGGCCACCACCGAGTCTCGGTTTGGGGACACGGGACGTGGCACCGGGGGGGGGGGGACTTGTTTTTGGCCACCTCCCCGCGTGTCCCCTCCCCGGCTCACGCGGTGTCCCCGTCCCCTGCACTCACCCCCGCCCTGCTCCGTGACGATGACAGCGGCGTACACCACATCCTGGGGGGACACTGCGGGGACAGAGCCGTGTCCCCCCCCCATTTGCAGTGGCACCTGGGGGGGGCCAGCGGTGTCCCCAAGGGCTGGCACTCACCGTTGCTGTACTCAGGCTCCGCCGTCTCCATGCTGAGGACAGAAGGGGCGCGGGGACACCGAGGGGCTGCGGGGTCCCTGGGGGGGGGGGACAAGGGGACATGGAGGGGGTAGGGGACACCCTGGGGACAAGGGGGGGGCAGGTCCCCTCCCCGGGCTCTGGGCTCACCTCTCCTGGCTCTTTTGGCCGCTGCAAAGCAAGAGGAGGGGGCACGGTGAGTGCTCCGTGGGGGCGCTCCCTGGCAGCCTGGTTGTACCCAAAGCCACCCCATTGTCCCCAAAGCCCTCCCATTGTCCCCAAAGCCCCCCTGCTGTCCCCAGAGCCCCCCCACGTCCCCAAAGCCCCCCCATGTCACCCACCTGGGTGCCGCCGCCACCAGAAGGTACCAGCCCAGCGCGGCGCAGGCAGCCAGCAGCACCAGCAGGGACGCGCTCAGCCCCCCGGCCAGCGCTGGGGACACAGAGGGGACAAACACAGCTCAGCCCCCCCCCACGACCCCCCCAGATCCCCCTTGGCCTCACAGCCCCCCAGCCCTTACCTCGTCCCCGCCGCTGCCCATGTCCCCACGGTGTCACCGAGAGGGCCACGGGGGGGCTGCGCTCCTGGAAGGCGCGCTGGGCGCCCAGCCGGTTGGTGGCCACGCACTGGTAGGAGCCGACGTGGCCCTGCCCCAGGGGTCCCAGGGCCAGGAGGGGACCCTCGCCCACCTCCTCCCCGTCCCGCAGCCACCTGAAGGCCACGGGGGCCGTGCCCACCCGCACGGCGCAGCTCAGGTTGAGGCGCTCGCCCTCCGTCCCCAACGCCTCCGTCACCGCCGCCTCCGTCCCCCGCCACCCGCACGGTGGCACCGGCCACGGGCACTGGGAGAGGGGGCAGCGCCGGGGGGTCACGGGGGGGACCTGTGAGTGTCCCCCCCCACCCAGCACGGTGCTCACCCACGACGGTGACCTGCAGCTGGGAGCTGTTGGCCGTGGTGACGCCGTCGGTGGCCCGGCACAAGTAGTGGCCGCCGTCCTCCGGCCCGCGCCGCCGGCAGCTCGTAGCGGGATCCCTGGGCCAGGGGCTGGTCCCTGACCCTCCCGGTACCAGGAGAAAACGAGGGGCCTCGTGGCCCCCCCCGCCGTGCAGCTCAGCACCAGGCCCTCACCCTCGGCCACCTGCCCCCCGGGGGGCTGCGCCGTCAGGGTCACCCCCGCCACCGGCACCCCTGCGGAGAGGGGAGGTGGCGGGGGTGGGATGGGACAGGGAGGCACCGGGGACACTGGGAGGGGTAGGGGGACCAAAAGGGGTGGGGGCCCTCCTGTGAATGGTGGGGGCAGTGGGGGGCTGTGGGGACGGGGACAGGGGACGGGGACAGGGGATGGGGACACGGGGCGAGGGGACAGGGATGGGGCATGGGGACAGAGCCACGTGGATGGGGCCATGTGGACGGGGCCATGGGGACAAACACCGGGGACGGGGCCATGGGTATGGGGACATGGGGACAGGCAGAGGGGGACGTGGGGACGGAGACGTGGGGACGGGGACGTGGGGACGGGGACATGGGGATGAAGTGGCCTTGGGGATGGGGACGCGGTGACAAAGATGCTGGAGCTGGGGACAGGGTGACGAGATGGGCAGGGAGCCGTGGGGTGGGGACACGGGGGTGGGACATGGGGACATGGGGACGGGGACACAGGGTGGGATGTGGGGACAGGATGTGGGGCAGCCGTGGGGAGCGTGGGACGGGGCTGGCGGAAGCGCCTCCGAGCCCTGCACAGCTGGGGGGGACGGGGGGGGCCCGGCTGCTTTGCATGGGTGGCTGTGACGCAGCTGCGTCCCCTGGGACCCCCCGGCCGCCCTGGGAACGCTCCCCACACCCATGGGTGCCCGTGGCCAGAACCGGGGGTGCAGCGAGGGCTGGGGGACACCGCGGTGACAGCAGCCCCTGCGCCCCCCCACCCCCCCCGGCCTCTTCTCCCTCCCAGCCCAATTCCTCAGCCTCACAGGTAAGTCCTCGAGCCCCCCCATGTCCCCGAGCCCCCCATGTCCCCGATCCCCCAGTGTCCCCCAAGCCCCCGCTGTCCCCAAGCTCCCGGCACGCTGGCGTCCCCGTGTCCCCCCTGCAGGTGCCCAGCCCCCCCTGCTGATGCTGGACCCCCCCTGGACGCCCCTGTTCAAGGAGCAGAAGGTGATACTGACCTGCGCCCCCCCAACGAGCGCGTCCCCACCGTGTGGAGCATCAACGACGGGATAAGCAGAGGCACCAGTCACCTCCAGTTCACCCCGTCCAGTACCGGCCGCTACAGCTTCCGGTGCTGGAGGTCCTGGTCCGAGCCCAGCCCCCCCCTCAAGCTGAGCGTCTCTGACGGTGAGGGGCAGGGTGCCGGCACCCATGGGTGCTTGGCAGGGGGAGGGGGGCTCGGCTTCGCGGCCTTTGTCACCTCTCGAGCAATCGGGGCGGGGGGGGGGACCCTGTGCGTGCTGGGCAGGACCCTGGGCACGTGGGGCACGTCCCAGTGCGCACCAGTGAGTCCCCAGTGCGCACTGGGTGCGTTTCCCTGCACACCACTACATCCCCAGTGCACACTGGGCGCATCTCCATGCGCACCAGTACATCCCCGTGCACACTGGGCGCATCCCTCTGCACCAGTGCATCCCCGTGCACACCAGTGCGGCCCCAACGCACACTGGGTGCATCCCCAGTACACACCGGGTGCATCCCCATGCACACTGGGTGCACCAGTGCATCCCCAGCGCTTACTGGGCACATCCCTGTGCACACCAGCCCGTCCCGTGCACCCTCCACATCCACGGGTGCATCCCAGTGCACACCGGGCGCATCCCCTGCACACACTGGGGCACACCAGTGCATCCCAGTGCACGCCCCTACCCCCTGTGCGCCCCGGTGCGACGCGGCTCCCACCGCTCCCCGCAGACTGGTGGGTGCTGCAGGCTCCGGTGCAGCCGGTGCTGGAGGGGGACGAGCTGGTGCTGCGGTGCCGGAGCAGGTGGGACTTGAGGCCGAGCAGCGTGAGCTTCTTCCGAAAGGGGAGCTGCTGCGGGGGCCGGGGGGGCAGGAGGACACGCTGCTGCTCGCCCCCGCGCAGCGGCACCACGCGGCCGCTACCACTGCACGGGCGGAGGGTACTGGAGCAGTTCAAGACCAAGCCCAACGAGGTCGTGTGCACGGTGAGCCGGGGGGGGGCAGCGGGGCTGGGGGGCACGGCAGCGGGGCTGGGGGACACGGCAGTGGGGTCACCGCCCCCCCTCGGAACCGTCTCCCAGAGCTCTTCTCGGTGCCGGAGCTGAGCGTGGAGGGGTCCCGGGAGCCCCCCGAGGGCAGCGCCCTCACCCTGGTCTGCGTCACCCGCAGCAGCCCCCTGCGGCCCCCCGTCACCCTGCGGCACCTCTTCTACCGGGACGGGGTGGTGGTGGGGGGGCCCCAGGGGTCCCCCGGCACCAGCTGCAGGGCTCTGGCGCTGCGGGACTCGGGCTCCTACGCCTGCGAGGCGCGGGCGGAGGCGGCCAAGGTGCAGAAACGCAGCAACCCCGTCACCATCACCGTCAGAAGTGAGCGGCTGGGAGGGGGGCATCAGCCCCCCCCCCGGGTCCCCCAGTTCCCCCAGTTCTGTCCCAGGTCCCCCCCATTTGCTCCCGGTCCTAACACCCATCCCGGGGCTCCCTCCCTTGGTCCCTCCATCCTCACCCAGGACCCCTCTCCATCTTTTTGTAGGGTCCCCCCATCCCCGCACCCCCACGTCCCCCATCCTTCCCCCACTCCGCATCCCTCCTGGGCCCCCCCATCCACCCCCAGGACCTCACCCACCCCTTCCCAGCTCCCTGTACCCAACCAGGTCCCCCCACCCTTCCCCAGGCCCCCCATCCTCCCCGGTCCCCCACCTTGGGTCCCCCATCCTCCTAGTCCCCACCTTTTGGGTCACCCCTCGTCCCTTCCCTCCCAAGATCCCCACACCCCCTTTGGGTCCCCCCGTCCCTCCCCAGGTCCCCCCACCCTTTTTGGTCCCCC